TTTCCCCGGGGGGGCCCGTGATGGGTTCGGAGTTTTTTCTCCCAGGGGGGGGGGTTGTTTTTTAGGGTTTTCAAGGGGGTGGAAGGGGGGCCCCCCCAAAAAAGCCCTTCGCAAGGGTTTTCCGGGAAACCCTTTGGAATTTTGGGGGAGTAAAACAGAAATTTTTTTCCCACCGGTTTTTGTTGGGGGGGTTTTTTTTTTAAAAAGCCCCCCGGGTTTTTTTTTTTAAAATCCCGAAATAGGGCCCCCCCAAAATGAATTGGGGTCGGGGGCGGGTTTTCAGGGGTTTTTTGGGCCCCCCGGAGGGCCAAAGGGGGGGCCAAAACCCCGTTTCCCCCCCCCCCCCCCCCCCCCCGCCCCCCGAACGACCTCCTCGCCGATGATGATACGCGGTGCCCCCCGCGACCCGCCCGCCCGCCCGCCCGCACGACGGCAGAGTCCCCGTGCCTTTCGGGAACAATGAAGAGTGTTCCCGAGAGCGCACGGACGGTTCCTTGGACTGTCGTGGAGGTTTTGGTGTCGGTTGGATAGGTGCCGTTGGGGCCGGAGAGTCGGCGATGCCTTGTAACTAACGTTGTTTGCACGTGTTGTGTTTCGATTAGAGAATCACCGTGTTTTGTGTTTTTTTTTCCTCGCTGCCCTTGAACGAGCTGGTATTTGCAGTGACTACGCAATCTTCGAGGGATCTATCTATCTCCTCAGAGACTGATCACTCCAAATAGATTTACTCGGAATCGCTACAACACACGACGGTGTTATTCTGGTCGTTGTCATGCCGCTCTGGTGGAAATTTTTCGGAATTGTTTCGTTGGTGATTTTTTTTTTTAACAGAGTATTATTGTATTGTTTGTAAGCTGCCCTCTCCGTGGACGTATCTTTGCAGGTGAACGTGAAAGCGGAGAAAGACTACAAGCTGCAGGAGAAGGAGATCGCCGCCCTCAAGAGAAAGGTACGACCAGATGGTCTAAGATGGCTTTGGTTGGTAGACGAAAAACAGGGGAGATGCAGAGCGCGAGATAACGGAAATCGACCACACCACACCATGGTCATGTGACAGGGAAAAACACACGGCGAGGAACAAGACTTGTGCTACCCCGTCTAAATTGACAGTCACACTAGCCTCTGAGCAACGGCATTACATTGGTGGTGTTGTAGGCTATTAATAGTGCATTTGGCTATGGTAAGCATGGGGTGACCGGCCTGGAATTACATGGATGGCGTCAATTTTTTTACCGCGTTTTGCTCCAGTGGTTGTCGCCTGTAGTCCGTGGTGGGAGAAGATAGTACGACTTCTGTGGCGGCGGCGGCGGCAGCAGCCACAACAACAGCAAGCATCATCGTGGAGCACACTTCTCTTGCCTTGCTTGGGGGGCGAAATTTCATGGGCGCCTCACATGACCACGGAAGCCAGGATACAAGTTAGGTTTGCGGGGATTGCTTCCGACTCCTGTGTGTTTGTTTGCCAACAAAAAATTGGTGCAGTGAAAAACCGTTTAACCATAGTTACCGTTACACTACCATCATGACTTGCTGTTTTGCAGGGGAATTCCGGGTCGAAGGCGGAAGAGGCGGCCTTGAAGAAGATGGGCCGCACCAGCCTCATGGACAGGCCGAAGGAGTACACGGTCAAGGTACTTGCTAGATACCAATACGTGTCGAAGTTGTCAAATGTGCGCGTTCGTTTGGTTGTGCTAGAAGTGCATTTATTTTATCCCCCCGCCTCCTCCGGAAAGTTCATGTGGAATAGCTGAGCATGTACTCTTGAGTAGGAACATTGGCATCAACTGGAAATAGGAAGCTGTCAAGAGCATTTGTGGTCGTTATTGGCGAACGCAGCAAGTAGTTTTGGATCTCTCGGTCCTCCTTTTTCGAACGGCCTCTCGAAACGTTGCAAAGTGACCGAAAGTACATACAAGCGCTGAAATGGATTCGTTCTATAGGCTGCCGTTACTATAATATTATCAGGGACGCAACACTTCGCCTTCTTTCCTACGGTGTGTTACCGTAGTCTTCGACGAAACGGCATCTACCCGCGATGCCATGTACCCTCCCTGTTTTCCGAACGCAGTTCATGCTTTCATCGCCAGAGGACCGGGTGCCTTCCATATCGGTGCTGGACGTGTCCTTCGGCTACAGAGACGACCGCGCCGCCCTCTTCCAGGTGAGCGGGTTGTCGTTGTTGTTGTTGTTGTTGTTGTTGTTGACGTTGGGGGCCTCCCCTCATTCTCTTGCCCTTGCCGCGTCATGCTTTCGCTGCTGGTGGTTGACTTGACCGTTCCCCGTTGGGCGCTGCTTATGTCTTTCTCGACCGTGCTGTCAAGAACAGGTGCCCAGTTGAGCTTCCCCGCATACATTTAAACCTGCGTAGTCGATGTTGGGTAGCCTCGCAGAAAACAGAAGAAGCGTGCCTCAGGGGGAGAAATGAAGAGGAGAGGTTTTTAGTTCTTAAAAAGGGGAGGCGCGTTCTGTACTCTGCTGCTCCCTATTTTGGTACCACTGCTGCACCAACTCGATGTTATGGTAGTATTAGTGTTGGCTGCTGGTGCTGCTTTGGCTCTCATGCATGTTGGTCGGAGTCGTTGTGGTTTCAACGCGTCTTGAGGTCGGTTCCTTTCCGGCTCCCCGCTCTCCGTGGCTCGGTGCGTCAGGATCTTCGATTCAAGGTCGACACGGATACCAGAGTGGCTATCGTGGGGCCTAACGGTGTCGGTGAGTAACTGCTGCTGCTGCTGCTGCTCCAAGCGCTTTGTTTTGATCCTGCGTCGTTGCGTTTGTTGAGTGCGCTGTCGCTGTTGTATGGCTGGCATGTGTCTTCCTCCAAAACCACAATACAGAAAATTCAACAGTTGCGTTTATTTGATACTCGTCGAAAGCTCTACAAGCTCTTGTGTTTTTGTTTTCCCACCTTCAACGTAAGGCACGCACTCTTTGGGACCCTGCCGCCTGCGATAGAAATCGGGCCCGGCGCAGCACTCGAACGGTGCATCTGATGCAAGAGTAGCACCGAAACTGCCGTACCCCTCTGTCTCGACTGAGACTAAGGGCTCTGATAGCAGACAGGCATCACAGGAGTACCCCCACGCACACCTACTTGAGACACTAGGTTGCGACGAAGAGACAAGCCACTACCCAGTTGAGAAGTTGGCAAGTAGGATCGCGGCCGCAGCAACTAGTTGGGCGGGGGGTTGCAGCAACGAACGAATCGGCAGAACGCCAACACAGCCTATGGAAAACCGTGGCAAAACGTGAAGTGAGCTATGGATAGCTTCCCCAAGGCCTGTCGCCTTGTCTATCATGGATTTTGCAGGACGAACATTTACAGCAGTGTACTGCCGGGGTTTTTTTAGGACGCGGGGTGATTTTGCTGGCGGACGCTGCGAATCGTAAGATATCCCCCCTGCCGCCTCGAGCGAGCTTACATTCCGCGACGCCAACCATGAGGTACATACAATACGTCGACCCCCCCGCCCCCGCCCCCCCCCCTCCCCTATCAGGAAAATCCACTCTGCTGAACCTCTTGTCGGGAAAGCTGGAGCCTTCGTCCGGAGAGGTGACTCGGCACCGTCACCTCAGGATAGGCCGTTATGACCAGCACTTCCACGAGTTGCTGCCGCAGGGCAAGAGCCCGTGCGACTTCCTGAGGTCGGAGTACGACGTCCCCGAGCAACAGGCCAGAAAGGTAGCGTTGGTGTTGTTGTTGGTGCGGTTGTTGAGCGTTGTTGTGCGTTGTTGTTGGTGGTGGTGTTGGTGTTGGTGTTGCGGTTGGTGTTGTTGTGCGTTGTTGTCGTTGTTGTTGTTGTGAGTGCTAGTGGTCATTGCCCTCGTTGTTGTTGTTGTTGTTAGTATCGCTGCTGGTACTATGACCGCTGCTCCTTTCCCTAAGGCTCGACGTTTGAGCCGTTTGGTGTTCCTCGTTCCTAGTCATGTGTCGTCGCTCGCTGAACTTTTTTTTTTTAATTCTTAGTATGACACAACGAATCCATCTCTATCATAGAAAAGAGTCAGAGACAGATTAGCAATGCATTTTTTGAAATCACACACACACACACACACACACACGGATGTCTTTTGATCGGTCAGCCGGTTAGCGCGGTCGATGCTAGTCAAAGAAACACACACGCCTATACGTACAACACACACACGAACGCTTGTTTCGTGTGTGCTTCCAGGTGCTGGGGCAGTTCGGGCTCGATGGCGCGAGACACCTGATCCCTATCGCCGAGCTGTCGGGAGGGCAGAAAGCGAGGGTGGTGTTCGCGTCGCTGTCTATGTCTCAGCCGCACATCCTGCTCCTCGACGAGCCCACCAACCACCTGTGAGTTTTTACCGTAGTGTCATCGTGGTTCCGAGACACTTTCCCGGTTTGATTTAGACTGTCTATACCGTGGAACACAATAACATTTGTCTTGACATAACACACACCCATACGTGTGTGGTTTGTCTTAGACCTTGAACACAAAAACAGTTGTCTTGATATAACACACACCCATACGTGTGTGTGCCGTGAGGTTTACACGCGTAGCAATCCCTGAAGGTCCGTGATAGACTCGGTGCTTGCCGTTGCCTTGCCGTCTGTCTTTCGTTGATTTCGTAGATTGAACACAAAGGGAGGAGAGGCGCCTCCTGGAAGAGAGGAGCTATGAACACTCTCACCCGCTGCTAAACTATTAATTTCGCAGGGTTCGCAGTTCCCTGTGTCAACTAAAATCGCACAACGTCTATGCGTATGAAAGGTGTGTGTGCGGTGCGATTCCGTTCAAAAGGAAGCTGTTGGAATGGACAGGGGCGTCGCGATCTCCCATCCTCTTTGCCTACCGAGTGGGAAATTGCATCTTGAAAGCTTGTAAAACACGTAGATGTTCGGCTGAGGTGTGAGCCGCCCGGGCGGCGTTAAAAAGAAGCAAAGAAGCCAATCAACCAGTGTCCGACCAGGCTAC